AAAAAAAAAGCCCAAAAAAAAAAAAAAAAAAAAAAAGAAGAAGAAGAAGAAGAAAAAGTAAGGCTAAACAGATTAGGATATTAACTAGATCAAATAGGAAAGAAAGAAAAAGGACAAGCACGAAAAAGACATTAATAGCTAGAAAGCTGGACCAGTTCCTCTTTCCTTCCCGAGTTTATAATAAATACATTTTGAATAATTGTAGAAAGGTTCAAATCTTGAATTGAATGAAAGATTCATCAAAAGAGGAAAGGAAAGCGAAGGAGCTAAAAACTGATCGAACAAAGCTATCGCTTAACGAGTCATTTACCATAAAGTTACAAAAGTTAAGAACAAGTAAAGAGATTTGGCATTTGGATAGTTCAAATGACACAACATAACCAAAGAGGAGAATCCCCGGACATAAACTATTTCTGATAATCCAAGTTGTATGTCCTCTAAAAAGGCCAATGTAAAAAAGCTACAACCACCAGCAAGCACTCCTTAAAATTAGCCCACTACTCAATATGAAACAAATTCTCCTAACCACTTACATCCTCTTGCCATGAATGTATGTTTTAGATATACTTTGTGTCCCACTAACTTACATGTTGACCCTCTGTTTCTTTTGGCAACACTAGTACAAGTGTAACAAGCAAATGAGTAAACAATGAGTAATTTGACATCTCTTTACGGGCCAACATCTGCTAGATTCCAAATAAATGAACAGATGTAAATATCAACATTTGCAAACATAATTTCAACAATTTCTCCATATGCCTAACCTTTGATAGACAATCTCTCCATATGGCCAACAATCTCTATTCTGAAACAAAATCTCCCTGAACTCCACTCTTTGGCAGACAAGTAGCTTTAACTTTAAGAACCTGAGTCTTCGAGATCACTACACTGGCCTAAACTTGGCAAACTATATAGTATGTTGAAGATCTCATATCACTGAAGAATTTTGTCCCACCAGACTACAGAAAAGAATCATTGACCAAGCTGTCGATGAACAATATTATTTCCATAACTTGCATCAATTTCCTGCTCTCCCATTTTTTGTAATATTCCTAGGATTATTATCCTCAAGCTCTCCCTGTACAGCTCTAAATTAGCCTTGGTTGCACTTTTTTATTTTAAACATAATGTGTAACTATTGTGAATGAATAAAGCAAAAAATATATTCTAATTCGCGTCACAGTAAAACAGCATAAATCATATTATCATGGGGAAAACCACACTTAGATTTGTAAAGCAAAAAATATGGAATTATCCTCGCACAGCTAAAATGTCGAAATGTCATTGAATTTCACCGATTCAATATCCTGAAAATGTAACCACTGGCAATAATCTCTGGTAAATTATAGTAAAAAATTAATGCAGATATTTGATTAGGAAAGAGGATAAACCTGGTCAATTGCACAAGGAATCAAGCATCGAAGATTATGTTTACCGGCGAAGAGATGTGGAAATGAACTCGGAAAGGATGGAGCAGCCTGAAATTATATATAATTAGGTAACTTAAAATGGCTATAAAATTGGGGATGTGAGAGTTGAGAAATAAGTGTAGCTCAAGAACTATTGTAACATCATTCAAGTGAAAATAAATAAATAGGAGTTTTAACCCTTTTATGAAGCTTTTTCACTGGTTTTTGTTATCTTCTCATAATTAGAGGATGAATCCTAATCTTAACAAAATATGGTTGACATATTCTTTTAACAGTAACAGGCCCAAAAAGAAGATATACAAAGCAGAAAGAAAAAAATATCCAACCATATCTGTGGACTACAAATAGTGAAATTTCTGCCAGAGAAAGGCAGAACACGGAGTGTTTAGAAAATAATATCCCTAGAAAATGATCATAAGATCCAGAATTAGAAATTGGCAAAGGTCAATTCTGAAAGTTAAGGTCTTGTAATTTCATAATAGATTGAAGTTCAAATTCCAGAATTCACTCTACCTTTAACAGAGTTACAGAAAATAGAGACATTCCACATTTTCACATTAAAGCTGTTAAGTTCATAAAATATGCGTATAAAATAACAACACAAGGCCCGGATCAATCTTTGTCCTTGCTTTACAGTAATCATGTAATCAAGCTGAATCCAAGCAAAAGTGTTTTCGTTCAATTGTTAAGCTTCAGGTTTTTCAAGATGCTCGGCAAAAATTTAAGATAGTTCCCAATATGGGTAGGTCCATAGGGAATATTGAGGCAAAGGACTGCTGGTAAGTTAGGAATAGAGTGATCAAAGCAACACTAATTACAAGGACCACAAGTGTAAAGAGCTCCACAGGTGACAACAGACACCCCTCCATTGAGAGAATACAAAAATGAGTCAGACTTCTAGCAGGACTTGAATGAAACCAAAAGCAAGCACATAAACATTGAGAGATGTACTGCCAAGAGTTATGTTTCAAATAATGCAAATGGACAGTTAAGATTTTCCACTGCGAACCATCAAAAGCTGAAGTTAAAATGTGCTAGTTAGATTTTTCATGGAGGAATCTTTTATCCTGATGGGACCAACAGCTCAAGCAGTTGCTTTCTCGCTTTTCCTTTTCTTGTATAAAATATTTTGAAGATGGGAGAAATTGGTGGTCTAAACCTGTCACTCATTGCTGCATATTATCTTGTTTGCATGCCTGTAATCTCTCTGTAATATTCCTATTTCTCAGTTTTTTAAAGTTTTAATAGAGGATCCAATTTGGAGTTATATTTTATTTTATGTTTCTTCACGATTTCAATGATTGGGAAGTGGATGATCCAGAAATATTATTGCATATGCTAGATTTATCCTTTCCTTCTAGAGTTCGGAGCTTTCATATTTCTTTGTGTGTTGTCATGTAAATATTTTTTCTCCTACCTTTTGCCGTCTCAAACTTTTTCAATTTTCGTGATGAAGTGGTTCATTTGGAATTCAAAGTTTTAATGTTTGTGCAAGATGCTTGGTGAAGTATAACATATGGATTATCATCTTTTCATGCACTATACTTCCACTAGGTTGACTTGGTCGAGTGTTCGGCGATGCTGTAGAGTTTGTTATCACGTTCACATCTTTGGTTGATTTTAGTCTATTCGATGTTATGGGTTCTAGAAATAGGAAAAAGAATGAAATTTTATGGTGCAGTTGTATGATTAATACAACATGATATCAATGGTTTGAGAGGGAACGAAAATCTATAAGAATCATTAGGTAATCCTCACTGCATAATCCTCACTGCATCTGAGACAGTTCTGTTTTGCATTTTTGCGAGCTAAAACTGCTGCAAGATCTGCTGGTTCGGTTTAGTCTTGATTTCCAACATGTTTGTAATGACTTATTCGTTCGATAATTTTTTCCCCCCTTTCCCATTGTTGTTTTAAATTACCTATGGACTCTCTCCTCTAATTCTCTCGGTATTTCTCCCAATCGATAAATTTGTTCTTTCATTAAAAAATAAAAACTAAAAATATTTTTCCAAAACCACTATTACAATCTTTAAAACTAAGAATTTTAATAGTACAATCTACCTGAACAGGTGGAAAGCTAACTTTTCCAATGTGATCTTCACCAGTGAAACCAAAAATACCAACTACCTACAAAATCAACCAAATGTTGTTTTCGGATTTACAAGCTAGAAGTCGATAATCAATAAAGCTTATGGATGCTTAACAGAAATTTCAAAAAAAAAGAATAAGCGTATAAAACTTTCCCAAAACCCGTAATCACCTTATTATATGTGACACATTTTGCAATCTTAACCATGTTCTTGTAGAACGAACTGCAAAACATATTCTTGTGTAAAAGAAATAGTCATTATATTGAACAAGTATTGAATATGATATATATGAATGTAAGTATGGTAATCAAAGAAATAATAGAAGTTGTCCATTTAAAGAACCAATCTACGTCAGAATACACAATGGGACCATGTAATTTATGACTTATAGCCAATAAGTGGAATACAATCACTTCCAAATTGACCAAGACATTCACAACTGTCCAACCTTTTGAGTTCAAAAAGGCCATTAACTTCACTCCGCTTTGAAAAAGAGCAAAAAAGGTAAAACTGACATACAATTTAAACTACTTACCCACCAACATAATCAAAATCCGAGAATATAAATGTTTTTGAAACGTCAAATCCACAAGCAATTATATCTTTAGCATTTTCACATGCCAATCTCTGGCTCTCCTCCACTGTCAAATTCTTCCACATGCACTTCTCATCATCAGTTAGCTGTATCACGAGTGGCACCTTAAAGGCATCCTGTAAGTACCTAAAATCACCCACCGGCAAAAGAATATATAAAAGAATCAATACAGATGCTTAGTTGTCTACTCCTCTTCTTAAATCTCCATTCAATACTTGATAACACCTAAAAGGAGGCACAAGATGTAATAACTGTACATAATGCATTACATTCTTGAATGGCACCTTAAACAAATAATAAATCCAAAATCTCATTATATAAATATACATTCAAAATTGTAAATGGTGAACATGGGAAGCTTGAACAGACTTCGCCTTGCGCCGGGCAAGGTATCATCATAGCGGCACAATGTTAAGAAAGATTTTTCGATTCTGAACATGGTGATTTAAGAGGGTCGTACCTTAATTACTTTCAGTTACAATAAAATACAATCTTACTCATTCAAAGGGAAAAAACTTGTATGTGTGGGAAATAATAAAGCCTGTGCATTTTTGGCAGTGGCTTTTAAGTCCTGCTTCATGACTTCTACTTTATTTTCAATTTCTCAATTCAATCGAGCCCAATTCAAAATAGCACTAAACAGAGAATCCTTCAAAAGCAAATCATGCCTCACATGTAGGGACCCTCACAACTAAAAACGGAAAATAACATAGAAGCATGAGTCATTACAATACCTGCAGTACTTCATGCTTTTATTTTAATGTACTGTTTCATTTCCAATTAAATAAAAAACCCAGAAAAAACCCACCATTAAATTCACTTCCAACAGTTTAAAAAATGGAAAAAGATAAGAAATTGTTCGATTACTTGGTAAACATGAAAGGAACGAGATGGCCCAAATGCAAGGCCTCCGACGAAGGACCACGTCCTGTGTACAAATAAAACTTCTCCCCTCTTTCATAGGCATCCAGAATCTCATTAAAATCTCGGTGTGCGAAGAACACACCGCGGCGGAGGAAGACATGAGGTGGGCGTCCAGTGAGGTGGGCAACACGATCAATTATCGACTGGTCAAGGCGCTGGCAACCAAACTTTTCAATGAGCTTGTCGTAGTCGATTTTGCCTTTTGCCGAAACTTCCCATGGATTTACTACTTGTTCTTCTTGCTCTTGGTTTTCGCTGGAAATGTTATTGTCCATATTTCGTCCCGGCAGTTCAATCAAAGAAATGCGATTCGGTTGGGATAAGAGAATTGAAAGAGAAGAAGGGAAAGAAATGTGAGCTGAGGTTTAGTGCGTAGGAAGATCAATGGGTTTTTAGTCCTTTTTTGCCTCTGAATTTGTATTTTACGTTACAAATAAAATTATTATTTATTTTAACTTAAATAATTGATAATGTGGATTTTTTTTCTTGCTATTATAGTGTAGTTAAATTTATAATCAGAGATTTTGTATGAAGGACAAAAAAATTTATTTTCTGAAAAAGTAATTAAAATTTTTAGAGGGACAAAAAATTCAAAAATGACAAATTTGACAAAATTATTAAAAAATGACATTTTTATATTTAAAAATTGAAAAAGTAACATTGGGGGCAATTTCCTCTTTATAATTTATAGATTGCTTAAATAGAGTTCTTCCCATCAAGTAGACCTGCAGATTTTAGCTTTTGGCATTTTCCCCTTATTTATTACTAGTGCAATGTAATTTTTCATTATCCTCTAAAGGTCTGTTTGATTGCAAAAATAGAATTGAATTGAATTAAAAACAAATTCTATCGAATTGTAAATTATTGTGTTTGATTGGTATAATTTTTCACGTGAAAAATGTTAAAATAAAAATATTTTTTCTGTTCGTTTGGTTTTGTTTTACATGAAAATTGTCAATCAAAGGAATATATTTTATTGGTATTGGGGATGAAATTTATTTTCATTACAAAAAAAAATTAAAAAAATTCAAGAAAATCATCTCTATCTTTTGATGTTCGTTTGACTTTGTTTTACATGAAATTTATCAATTAAAGGGAAATATTTTTTTTACAATAATTCTTAAAATTTGTTTTCATTAATAAAAAAATAAAAAAATTGCTATAATGGCCTGGAATTCGACTTCTCACCACGAATTCCACCAATTTGATGAGAATTCGAATTCCATGGAAACATGGAATATTGTTAGTTTCCAAGAAAAACAAGAAAAGTAATTCCTTGAAAAAAAAGGCTATCAAACAGGCAAAAAGATAGAAAATAGAATTGATTTTCCATTTTCCATGAAAAATTTGGTACAATCAAACAGGGTCTAAGTCCTCAACCCATTTCCTCCTAATATGGAGAATTTAGTTTGTTTCTTGAGGAAAACGAATAGAAAATATCACCCAGGTGGAAAGAAATAAAAGGTATGTTAAACATTTGCTTAATTGTTACACTTCCGTATCAAACTTTTACTTACATTAAAAGTTTCTAACATTTGCTTATTGTCACACTTAGGTATAAAATTTTTGTCATCACAATTTTGTCCTCAATATTTCATTAATTAAAAAATATTCTCTTATAACCATTTTTATCCATAATTTTATTAGGGTGCTTTAAAATGAATGGTAAATATTTAAAAAAAAATATGATTTATAAATAAGCGTGTTTTTTTTTTTTAATGCTCTCTTAAGTGAAATTTTTGTACAAAAATCATCAAAAATAAGACGTGCTTATTAATAGAATGTTGAGGATAAGTGTTTCGCACGGGTTAGTAGCTAACAATTAAAAGGGATCAGACGATTGTGTAAGGGACAAACCTCTTGAGACAAAGTCCCAAAAAGGGGTATTCTTTTATTGGCGATGACTTTACAATTGGAAATTAAAAACAGAATGCCTCCAAGGAGCGCAGCACACGAGTTATTGAAAAAAGTGTTTAAGTCTAAACTAAGGAATTTAAAATTACATGTTCTTTGTTCGAGAGTTTTTGATTCCGTCCTTTGCTCTATGTCTTTTCTCCCTTTTATACTTCATGGATGATCTCTTTGTGATCAACCGCCTAAAAACTGTTTGATCGTTCTACAACTGCCCACTTTCCTCGTAATGGCCAACTTGTCATGAAACTGCCTTTTTTAACTGCTGCCATTACTCTTCGTCGTTCAACCGTTTTCGATTGAATTCCTTGAATCGTGGAATGTGATAGGACTGCTTTAATAACTGTTTTGATAACTGCACTTCTTGATAACCACAACACTTTATGTTTGCTAAAACCTTGGGCGACTTGAAGGTTTGGGCGAGAATAGAGTAACAGCTCTGGACGACTGCATGGCACTCCATTCGCTTAGATTCTAGGCGATTTGCAAACTTGGGCGATGGCGTTACCGCGTTCTTGGGCCTCCCTATTTGGACCTTCATCTTGAATTGTTTGATTGGGTTTCGTTCTTTGGGCTATCTGATTGGGGGACCCTCCAATTGGGTTTCATTCCTTGGGCCGTTCGATTTGGGCTGAATTTTTATGTGTCAACAATTACCCCCCTAATATGGCATAATTAATACCAATTATTAAATTTTGCCATATTCACTTTGTGTTTCCAGCAACATTCGAAATTCCCAAAAATTT